CTGAAGCATAAATGGTGTTAACCTCACGGGTGCTCTCTGTGGCTTGTTAGGGCTGGAAGCGCAGCCTGGTGTGGTGATGCGGCCCGTGCCCCAGGCTCCCAGAGCCCCAGGGAGACGCACCTCAGGGCTCTGTTCCTGAGAGCTTTGACACCACGTGTACCATGAACGCTGACCATCGTGGGCCCTGGTTTCCATCCTCTCTTTGAGCAGAGCTGAGATCTCTCTCCCCGGCCTAATGTGGATCCAGCCAATGCCTGGGGTTGCTAGCGCACTATACGTGGCTTTGGCCACTTCTTGTGGGATTGAAACAGCCAGCCAGTTGGAGACAGGCATCCTAATGCCTAGACAGGAAATCGTAGTCCCTAAATACCCCTGTGACGAAGTGGGAATATTCTTAATGTTTTCTCTGAATACTGTGTGGGTGCCTCAGTTTCCCCTGTGCCATTCTTAAGTATCTAGGTGGTGGGATAGGGGAGTGTGATTGTTGCAGAGCCCTAGAGGGCCAGTGTGATGCTGCCTGCACAGAGAATGGCCGACACCCTGTCTCCTGGCAACTAACGGCCTGGGCCCCTCCTTCTCTGCAAGGTGCCAACTGAAGGTGTTGGAGAACAAAGAGATCAGGTTTCCTCCTGGCCTGAGAAAAAGAGACAAAGGCCAGAGGAGGGGTTGGGGGGAGTTTCAGTTTAGAGCTGGCTGGGGAAATGGAGGGAGGCCCTGAACTGGGTTCTGGGCTCCCTAACCCCTCCATGATGGATCTGACTCAGGGGTCCTGTTCTCTGTACCTACAAGGTCTGTTTTGGACTGTGTTCCTGTTGTCTAATAACCCTTCTGTTTTACTGGCTGGCTGAGAGTCACGTCTGACTGCGGAGTTGGGGTGCAGGGCCCTCTGGCTTCCCCAGGACCCTGCCTGGGCGGACTCGCCGTGGGAAGCGCACGGTGTGAGAAGGGGATGCTGAATACTCTCTGAGGTCAGGCCCAGGAAGGTCGAAGCAGTGTGAGCTTCTTGCCCTGGAGACAGTCTGCTCACAGAGAGGAGGCTCCCCAGAGTCCTGACTGGCTTCGTATGGAGCAGTTCCAGAGCATCGCCTGGTGACTCCGTGACAACCCCTTGCAGCTTCAGTTGCATTGTTAGATTTTTCCCTTCCTGCCCTAATCTGTTGGTTAGCGTTGCTGTGGACTGTCAGTCAGCTGCACCCCGGAGGTGGCTGCATTGCAGTGATGGGTGCTGTGCTGTGTGTGATACTCTTCTTCCTAAAGTGATTTAGTCTCCGTGGGTCAGGAGCCCTGTACATTTTAGGGAGGTTATTATCAGTACATTCTTGCATCAACCTCCCTCTAATCCTAGCTTCATGGTAAAGTCCATCCCTAGCTAACCATGTGTGGTTAAATCCACTGCAGACAGGCCAGCTGGGTGACTGAGGCTGTGTGAACATAATGCGGCTGAGGGCTGGTGCCAGTGTGACTGTCAGAAGGAAGATCCCGAAAACTGGGAGCATGGTGCATTCTCGCATAGCATCTCTGGCTCTTCCGCTCGTTTGGCTGAGACCTAAAGCGTAGGGCGCTGCCTCTTGCTGTCAGCATCTCCATTAGAAACCCCCCTCGCCGCTTAGAGCTGGAGTGTGAATGTTCCAGCTTTTAGCCCTCTATTATTTTTAGTAATGACTTGTACTATTGGGGGATGGGGGGTAAGACTAGCACTTGACCTGCTTCTGGGTCTGTAATAACATGGCAGAATTAATACTTGCTTATCAGGCAGTGCCCAGTCGGAGTTATCAGCAAAGGCAGCTATTAAAGGTAATAAGCACAACCCAAAATTATGCGCGCTTATTAAACTGGCTTGGGATGGCGTCTGTACCTCCAGCAATATCTCCCTTCAGATGTTGAGCTGGCTTCTGGGCGATGTTTTATGCTTTGTCTGCCTCCCGGGAGGGCTCTGCCGCTCCTCTGTCTTTGGAGCGGGTCGTAGGAGATCGTGTGTCCACGTCCTACCTGGGCTGTGTTGCTGCCACGCTAGGTGACCTTGGGCTGCGTGCTATAGGCAGCATTTTCAAATTGGGCCCCGCGCCTGCAACGATTTCGGTTCCTCCAGACCTCTGCCTGCTGGGTCAGTGTAACGGCTCCCCGGGCTGCATGCCAAAGTCTGTGCGGGATCGGGGGCTTGACTGCCGAGGGGTAGGCAGCCAGAAGTCTGCTGAGCACCCACCATTCCTGTTGGCTTCAATGGGGCAGCGCCTCGGAAAATCGGGCCGCTTATCGAGGTGGCGAAGTGTAGGCAGCCAGGTTTGGAATGTTGGCCGCCTCTGTGCGCCTCAGTTTCCCCACCTGGAAATTCTTGCAGGGGTTGCTCCCGTTTAGCTGTTCGATGCACCTGGAGATTCTGAGTAAGGCGCTACAGAAAGGCAAAGTGCGGCTGCCACTGCTTATGGCTCAGGGGCCCTGGTGCCTTGGTTTTCTTTCAAGTCTGTCCAGTTGCCAGGAGCACGGTGGGGCCTGGGTGTGAAGGGCAGCACCCCCGAACTGGCTGCGCCAGAGCAGGGGGCGTGCCATGCAGGGCATGGGACTGCAGCGGGAATGGCTTCCATGTTGGCATGTGACTCCGGCCCCTTGCGCTGGGCTCGGGGTGTTATTCCTGCTGAGGAGTCCGCAGCAGCCGACTGGGCCTGGGGCCCGCTGTGCTGGGTACTGGGGGACGCTGCGGTCCCAGCCCGTGGGAGGAAGCTGAGCCGGGAGAGGCTGTGCTGGCCTGAACAGGCACCTCCCGTGTATAGCAGGGGCCTCGTCCTGCGGAGGCACGCTTTGCGGCCCAGCAGCTTCACCCAGAGCAGAGGTTTCCCTCTCCCCTGGCGTGGCAGTTGTGAGCCACTGAACCAAGCAGCGAGGTCCTTCCTCCCCCAGCCCAGGAGCTGGATTCGCTGGCAGCAGGTTGCGGTGTTTGCGCTGCTCCTTGGGAGAGGAAATTCTCCTTCCCTTCCTGCTGGAGCGTCACGGTTCTCACCTCCACCTGCGCTCTGCGTCCCGTCGGCAGCAGTATCGCCCCAGCCCGGTGACGCGCGTCCGGCTGGCTCACGAAAGAGTTAACGGGTTTGCTGGCCCAGGTGATCGGGCCTTCCATAGCGTTGGGTTTTGCAGGGGGGCAGACTGGCTGGAGTGGGTGAAGCAGGGGATCCCTGCGTGTATAGAATAGTTCTAAGGCCAGATGGGGCCCAATCAGCGCTCCGGTGCAGGCGGCACTGGGCGAGGGTCTCTGACACTGAATCCACGGGCGTCCCCATCCCGCTCACCTTCGCTCCCGGTGTAGCTGCCCATGCGGGCATTGCCTGGCATGGAGCGTTCTGGAGGTCTCTCTCCCTGGTCTCCAGAATAGCGAGCGACCCTTGGCGGGAAGGGTTGGACATGTGGCTATCCAGGCTGTCAGGAGCGAGGGGGTCAGAGGAGCAGAGCCGGATTGGGCAGGCAGCTCTGGGCGCTCCCCGCTGCTGGCGAAGCCGCGCTGACATTTTGCAGAGCGCACACACGCTCGGTGAATGAGCCTTTTGACAGATGCGGCGGTGGCTGTAATAAAGTATCTTTATGCACTGTGGTCCCCTTGTTCTCCCGCTGACGGCATGTTCCCTTCACCAAACATTTATTTCAGGGGCCGGCCTGGCGCTTGCTTTTCCAGCTTTTATTACTTTTTTAAATTGTTTTGCAGAAATGGGCTCCTGGGTTGAGTGGAAGCCCCCCCCCCCCCCCCCCCCCCAGATTTCACCCGACTTTAAATTACATCCCTTCCTGGCCTGGGCCTGAGCTGATCAGCATTCAGCTTGCAAGCTGCAGAGGAAATCCAGCCCTCGCCTTGCAAGGCAGTGGGGGTTCTCTCTCGCGCGCTGTTAATAGAAGCGTTCCTCGCGTCGGGCTCAGGGCTGTCCACACAGTTGCCTTTCACTTGACGATTATCCTGATCATCCCAGCAGAAGTTGTGATACCTTAGTTAGACTCCCCCCCCCCCCCCCCGGCAATGATTCATTCTTCTTCTGCCTCCCCCCCCCCCCCGCCGCCCGGCCCCGCCCCCCGCCCCGCCCCCCCTCCCCCCCCCCCTCGTGGGGGCGGGGGCCTGTCTTCTTTCCCCCCCCCCCCCCCCCCCCCCCCGGGTTTGGCTGTCTGCTCCTGTGGGGGTTTCTGTAGTGCCCATCACCATAGGCACCTTCCCTGTCCATAAATGTTTTCCTTGAACCCCCGCGGGTATCCCAGGCCCTTTGGCCCTGATCAGGAGCCCCCTGAAGTCGCTGGAGACTCCCGTGGCTCAGCGAGCTTTGGGGCAGGCCCCCAGAGATTTAACGCGTAGGGCAACGCAGACATTCCTGTGCCCGTCCTGAGGCTCTGCTGGCAGCTAGCCAGGAGCCGTGCCCAGCTTGCGTGCAGTGGGGCTCACGTTTCCAGGGCCTGCAGGGACCAGCTGAACCAGCTGAGGGGCCTGGTTCAACACAGTGAGAACCCTCCCCCCCCATGGCAGGCGAGTCTGCCTTACTGGGGGAGCGGGTTTGCACTGCAGAAGGGGGAACCCGGGGCTCGTTCGCCTTGGCCGAGCCCAGGGCAGGCCCTGGCTAGCATAGTTGTGGGTTGGTAAATACAGCTGTGGGCCCGTGCTCTGGGCTCTGTTCAGGAGGGGAGTCATAGCCTTGGGCAGTTGGACTAAAAGTGGGAGGGGAAACTGAGGCACAGGGCAAGCTGTGACTTGCCCAAGGTCACCCAGCAGGTCGTGGAGCCAGGATAGACAGTAGGTCGCCTAAGTCCCAGACTGCAGTGCCTGTCATGGGGAAGTGGGGGGGAGAACTGTTCTTTACCCCTCCCGCCCCGGTCTGAGGTGCTGGATGCTACCCCAGAGGAGAGGTGGCTGCATACGATCCCCCTGGCTCTGGTGAGGCAGGGACCTGGGCAGTTCCGGGCCACAGCCGCCAGCCCCTCCCTCACCCCCGTGACACCTCGTCTCCTCACCAAGGTGTGTTTATTGCCCTGCTCAGGCATCGAGTGTCCCCGCGGAGCACGAAACCTTCCCGGCCTGGTCCAGGAGGGAGAGCCCTTCAGCGAAGAAGCCACCGTCTTCACCAAGGAGCTGGTGCTGCAGCGTGAGGTAGGACATGTGCCCCACCTCCCCATGCATGCAGTGGCTGCCGCGGCTGGCTTTGAGGCTCCGCCTTGAAATAGGTGGCGGCAGAGGGCGGTGGCCCTGGCTCCCAGTCGGTAGGGAGGGCTCGTGCTCCCCTGTTTGGCCGCTGCCTCCCCATGAACGGTGCCGCAGTGCGTTCGCTGATCCCGACCGGAGACTGGGCTCCCTGGGCCCCCCGGGCTCTGGCTGGGGCTTGCTGAGCGGGTCGAGTGGCTCGCTGCGCTGAGGCATCGCGGTGGTGTTCAGCAGAGCTCCCCAGGTGGTGACGTTGCGCTGAACCGCACGGGGCCGGTTCCTTGGAGCGTTGTTGGGTTTGGCTTGCCGCGCCGCACTGGAGTGCTCTGGAGTCGCCTCTCCCAGGCCATTGTTCGCTGCTCTCGGTTACAACGGAATGGCCTCGCCGGCAAGGCTTGGTTTAGTGAAACGTTTTCAAGCAGAGGGAGGAGCCTTTGGGGTTGGAAGGGTCTGTTGGGGGCGGGGCTGTGCCCTTTGCCCCCTCCAGGAGAGGGGCAGCAATTGCTGGTTGATCGAGTTCCCCAGCTGTGGAACCCCTGACTGCGCGGCGCTCTGCTGACCCGCCAGGGGAGCCGGGCTGGCAGGGTAGACGCTGCGACGTTGGTCCCTGCACGCAGACAAGTCCCCCTGAACCCCCACTCCCGTGGTAACTGGTCTCGGACCTCGTTCCGAGATCTGCGTCGCATGGCTCTGGCCTCACTCTGCTTTGCTGGGGTCCGAACCGGCCCCAGGACATCAGGTCTGCAGCGTGGGCAGGGTGCCACTCGGGTGTGTCACCGGCTGATGCGGGGGAGCCGGGCTGAGGGAGAGTTCAAGGCAAGCCGGGCTCTTGTGCACTGCCTTCAGTCTGCGCCTGTTCCCCGCAAAGACCCCACGCCTCGCCCTCCTGCTGGCTGCTGGGGTCAGCAGCCCGGGAGCTGGCCGGGGGGAGGGCAACGCTGAGCCGACTGCTCTTCCCTCTCTTGGCCTTGACGGAAGCCTTGAGGAGGTGCCCGGGTGAGAGCATCACCGGCCCCCAGTGCCTGGGCTTCCCCAGGCCCTGCCGAGCCGTGGTGCCGTATGTGCTGTGAATGCCGTAGTGCCCAGGCCGGGCGGGGACCTGGAAGGGGTGTAGTCAGTGGCTCTGTCAGAGGAGCCTGGCCCTGCCTCAGCTGAGCAGTGCTGGCTCCCAGCTAGAGGTCCCCCTGTGCACCCGGCGTGGCAGCCCCGTCCTGCCGGTCTTTGGGAGCACCCCCTTCCCCCGCCCTAAGGAGCGCTCGTGCGCTGTTGGGAGGGTGCGACTCTTCCCCCGAGGCTGAGCTGCAAGTCACTCAGTGCTCATCAATAACAGGCCCCCGCTCCTGCTCCCTGGAGAGATGGCAGAGCAGAGCGATTCCCGGCCCGCTCCATGGGGCGCGGGCACACGCCAAGAACACTCCCTTGGTGGGACTCCGGAGCTAACCGGGATCTCTGCTCTGCAGAACGGCAGCGTGTCTGTGCCTCTGCAGCCGTGGAGGCTGGGGCTAGCTGCCCCGCTCTTCCCAGGCTCCTGGCCGGCACGGCGTGGCTAGCCCTGGGGATAGAGATTGCACCAGGATCGCCTGGGGTGGTGTGGGGCTGAGCTGGCCCTGGGCAGCGAGCTCACCCTCCCTGAGCCAGGCCCTACATGGGTATGGTCCTGTAATGCCGGGTGCCGCAGTGCAAGCAAGGCAGGCTGGGGGGCTGCCCCAGGGAACGGACCCAGTGAACGGTGCTTGCACAGGATACTACAGACTAAGTGCAGCGTCAGGAGAAATACTGCTGGCGTATATCACCTTCCCCTGCAGTCTGGAGCCTGGGCATGTTTAAACTGGTGTCAGTGGGGGATTCTCTGTCACCTGACGTCTTTAAACCATGATTTGAGGACGTCCGCGGCTCAGCCAGAGGTTCGGGGTCTGTCACAGGCGTGTGGGTGCGGTTCTGTGGCCAGCGCTGTGCAGGAGGTCAGACTAGCGATCATGATGGTCCCTTCTGACCTTCGAGTCGGAGTGGATAGGCCAAGCAAGCTTGCAGCATAGAGCGCTCCGTGGGCTGACTGGCCCAGGCCTGACGTGCACCCAAGGGTGGCTGTGCTGCTGGCTGAAATTGGAAGGCACTGGGTGCTGGTTAAAGTATTGAGACCCCATTCCTGGGAGAGAAGAGCTCAGTGGGAAAGATCGAGGGGTCGAAGTGGAAGTGTGTGGGAATGGGGGGTGTCTGTATGTGCAGGGGGCAGCCTCTCGGGGTGGGCAAGTGGCCAGGTGTTGAACTCTGGGTTTGGGGAAGGGACGCTGCGTTTCTGCAGGAGATGAGTCGGGGTCGGGTCTGGCTGGCATTTGGTGGAAAGCGCTTGGGCAGATTCCTGCAGCGGGGCTCAGGCTGGGGCTGGAAAGGACCCTCTGGCCGCTCACCTCCACGCTGGGAAGTGTCTCTCTAAGAGACCTGCTGCACCCGGTCGAAGGGGGGTCAGAGGGGCCCAGCCAGCCCCTTCTCCCTGACTAGAACTATGCAGGGGAGACTCCCCCTCTGGCTAACCCCCAGCCACGGGGCCTTTGGGAAGGAGCCAGCCAGAGGCCGGAGCAGCTCTGCAGGAGCAGCTCGGGCCTGCGCCTGCTCTGTCCCGTGTTCTCATGCCATGTTCCACGGCCTGCGCCCGCCGCTTCGCCTCCCCTGCCCAGCCCTGCCCTGCCCTGCCCAGCTAGCCACTCCCCTGCTAGCCTCGGATTTCAGTAGCGAACGAATCCCGCCCGGCCTGGCACTGCCATGCTGTTTGCTGCTGTCGCATCGGTCCTCGCTGCTGCTTGTGTGTCCAGTCTCTTCCCCTTCCCCTACCCCCCCGGTGTGTGTCCTGTCTCTGGAGACTGAGCAGTTCGGGGGGAATCGCTCTGCGCGGGCAGTGCCTGGGAAGGAGTACAGTTAACAATAGCGCTAATCCCAGCCCGGCCGCAGAGCGTGTACAGCCAGCCCAGCTCCCCCTGCTCCTGCGTGCCTCCCCAAGTGCCGGCTCTCTGGCAGAAAGGCACCGCGCGCTGGCAGCTCTCCTCTTGCACAGACAGACATTGGCTGGGGCTAGCAGCGCTTTCACCTTGTGGCCTGTGAGGAGTGGATAGTGGAGATGCCCCGTGTGCCCCCCGCCCGCCCGATTGTCAGAGGGGCTGCCGGAGCCGGCTCCGAGCCACCTTCTCTTTTCTCTTTGAGAGAGGTCTTTGCCTTGACCTCGGGCACCTCCGCACACCAGGGCTTTTCCTGCCTGCGACTCGCTCGTGAATTCCCAGGGACCTTTTCACCAGACCTTTAGCATCTCAAAACACCAGGAAGAACCCCTTCCCCGCCCCGAAATCCCACCCTCGTTCTCCTTCACCTCGGTAGCTCCTTCCCAAGCCGTGGGGATCCCTGGGTGAACCCTACAGAGGATGCACCAGGCCAACTGCAGTGTTTGGAGCGGGGCTGGGAGATGGCCCTTGGGCAGGGGAGCAGGGGGCTCTTTCAGAGATGAGCCGATCCATTCTTGGGTGGGGAATAGCTCCCGCATGGTTGGAGGCAGAATGCAGGGTGTGTTGCAGGCCAGGCGGTACTGTCACGTGCGTGGATCTCGCTAGCAGTGTGTCCTGGTGTGTGGACAGCACACTGCTGTGCTTTGTGCCCCTCTGACGTTCGCACTCTGTTTTATTCATTCGGCACATTCCCCTCCAAGGGATCCACCCTTCAGACAAGGAAAATTTATGTATCAATTTTGCATCATTGCCCTGTATTCTAACTCCCACCCGTTCGGTTTAAATTGACTTAAGAACTGGTTATCTCGAGAACTGTCAACCCAATTCCCCTTAAATTCGTTTTACACGGCCGCTGCGTAAAGCCAGCCCGCTTTGAGAGGCTGACATTTCCAGCCATCATTCACTGTCAAGTTACTCCGTGGCCCCGGCTGCATTTCCCGGCTCCCTTTCAGAAGGAAAGGTCTCCATTTGGCGAGTTTCTGAAGTCTCTCCTATCCCGGCACAACCCTGCTGCGTTTGCATTCAGCAAAGCTGCCACTTCCGCGATCTTTCTAGTACACAGTAATGACTTGAGACTTCTTGCAGCGAGCAGAGTTTCCTGGGCTCCGTGGCGTACTGCAGTCCGGCGCGGGAGCCTTCTCTGGGGTCGCGCAGAAGCTGCTGTAATGGGCAAGTTGTGTGGGTTCCCCACCCCCCACCTCTGTCCTTCCCTGTCCAGGAAACCAGCAATTCAAATCAAAGTCAGTGTGTGAGTCTTTAATAGCGACACACAGCTCTCTTCTCCCGCTCCCACACACGCATGCAATTACTCCGACCCCGCGGAGATGGTGATTCTGGTGCCAGTTTTGATCAGCCACAGACAATTACCCGTCAGGAATGAGATTGGGCCCTCCCCACCGTCCTGCGGGATTGAACAAGCTGCCTGTGTCTGGGCAGACCGCACCGGGATGGCAGTGAACTGGAGGTGGAGCTGGGCTTTCGGGTGGAGGGGACGTCCCCAAGAAATCGGTTAGGGTTGTAAGAACTGCCAGACCGGATCAGAGCCGAGGTCCATCCAGCCCCCTTCTACCACAAGCCTACCAAAAACAAGGCAATTAATACAACCTTTAAAAGCTCACCCTACCCCAAGCAGAGATTTCACTCGGAAAAGGAAAATATTCCAGAGACTCCATGAAGTCCGCTAGGGACTTGGTTCTTGCTGCCAATTTTAAGCGGCAGGCGCCCTGATACCAGGGTGATGGTCCGCTGTGTAAAATCACTAACTTGCATCCCATGGGGCCGCAGCTGCTTTGGGGGAGGGGGCTCTCCCCGCTGGCGAGCGATGCCTGTGTGCAAACAGGTGTTGTGGAAGAAATGCCTTTCCCGTTTGGCAGTGCTAAACAGCCGTCCAATCTCAGTAGCTTCAATCCATTCCTAAAGTGCCACCCAGAGAACTTCCTGTTGCCGTGCGATAGAAGTGTTTATTTATTCATCTGCTGTGCATTTACGGGCTATTTCAGCTAGAAAAGCACTCCGCTCTTCCATTGCAATTTCAAGAGCAACTAGCATCATAGCACAGGGAAACTGATCCGCGCTTTGGCTGTGCAGGCAGCGTTGCTGGGTCTGTAGTAGCGATGAGCATGTCCTTGGCCAGCTTTCATTTCTGGGGGAGGCTGCCTGGGCCGCTGAGTGTCCCCAGATCTTTCAGCCAGGGAGCTGGGAGGGCTTGGGTTACCTAAGGGTGTAAACGCCAAGGAAGGGAGCGGAGTGCACTTGGTGGGGTTAGGGGTGACATTGAGGAGGGAAGGCTGTGGAAGGACTGCGAGGAAAGTCTGCCGGGAGGTGCCGCATGTTTTGCCTCTGGAATAGTCCCCCAATGGAAGATCCGTCACTTGGGGCTCTCCGGCTCTCGAGAGCGAACTGTAGGGAGGTGAAGTCCTGTGGGGCCAAGCAGCCAGCCAGACGAGCTCCCTGCCGCCCGTCGCTTTCCGGCTGTAGAGATTTGAGGTGAAAAGAGGCGGTGCTGGAAGAACTGGCCCTGGGACGGGGGGGCTCGTGATGTTCCAATCAGGTGTCTCTTTCCAGGGCG